CTCTCTCTCTCTCTCTCTCTCTCTCTCTCTCTCTCTCTCTCTCTCTCTCTCTCTCTCTCTCTCTCTCTCTCTCTCTCTCTCTCTCTTGTTGCGAAAGAGGTTTGGCAGTTAGAAGCCCAAGGGACATGGAAAGAGAGGTTGGCGATGACGATGTACCGGAGATGATTCATCTCTATCAGCTCTGTCTATGTCCAATCTTTTGGCTATAGTTGAAACTAGCATGAAAAAATGTACTTCTTACTTGGAAATTTATTCAGTTGCGCATACTCTTTGTGGCACAGTGGCAGTAAAGTTAATCAGTAATTGACATTGTGGTGGCGACATTAAGCAATACTTCTTGTGGAAGACAAGTTCATCCGTAGCAAGTTGCCCACTATCCACTTTGGTTGATCATGCCTCTTATGTGTGTGGTATGTTAAAGCACCAGTACATCCCAGATATCGACTGGGGGCCCCCCTCTCGGACGTCGCCCACCGCCAATTCATTTTATCTGCTGCGCTAGGCCTCCTAAATTTTTGGAGAGGCTAAAAAAAAAAAAAAAAAAATTGGTTCTCCAGTTGCCTGGGGCCATGTACTGGTGGTATGTTAATTGAACTTAATTCTGATAAAGTGCGCGCTGTGTAGATTGACGAATGTTTCCATTTCCAAACTTTATCATTTTTTTTTAAAGTTTAAATTTGAAAAAAAAATGAAAACCATCTTGGAAGTTTAATTTGAACCTTTTTTTTTTTTTTTTTTACCACCAGTACATCCAGACATCGGCCGCGGACACGTTTTGGAGGCCGCCTGCCGCCGATTCGATTTATCTACGGCTCTGGGCCTCTGAAAAGTTTGTAGGCGACAAGTTTTCTTTTCAGCAAGGCTGGGGCTGTGTACTGGCGGTTTAAGCATGTGCTATACAAGCAGTCGTGTTAGATGGGAAGGGAGGAGAGTGTGCGACTACAGTCTGTGTGGTGGATGCCTGAGCGTGGTGTTGTGTGTGTGTGTGTGTGTGTGTGTTTTGGATTTTCACCACAACAGCCCCTATTCCACCCATTGCAGATGAGTAGATCGAAAACTGAAGCAGTGTTAGTCCTATAGACTCCTATTGCAAACGCAACATGGAGCTGTTTTATTTTATAGCAAACGCAACATGGAGCAAAATAGAAGTGTTTAAAATTTAAATCTATGCTGGGGTGTCGCCCGGCCCAGTTGGGCAGAGGGGGGTCGCCCGGTGAAACCAGACGGGTCAAAAAAAGAGGCAAGGATACTGAGAAAAAAAAAAGAGGACTGCGCTTCGCCTAAGCAGTCAGAATCCGGTGTTAACTTCGATTTTGCTAATGTGCGAGGCCCAAGGCCTCGATCTGCCCTATTGGGCCCTATTTTCTGTACAGTCGGCTGCCCTAAGTGAAGGCAGGCTCGACCCAGGGCCTACAGGCCTACTTTTGGGGTCACCGCGCAACTGGGCAATTTCAGGCAGTTGCGCAGCGCCAGTTGGTTGAGAGCGCCCAGGCCCAGGCTGCCTTTTCCCGTATGTAACTGAGGCAGGCCCTGGGCCAGATACGCAACGTGGACCGAACACAGGCCGAGGGCAGTTGGACACGGGCAACCACCAGAGGCCCAGGGCCTGATTCATTTGGACGGGGGCACAGCCCCTCTGGGCCTACCGGAAGCTTCTGGGGAGGGGCCCAGCGCCGCCAGCCTTCACACAGCAGGCAGGTAATTTCCATTTAGGAAAGTTCCTGCCCACACATTCCTCATTCGGGCACTGGCTGCATGCTGCGCGAGCGCTGCTGCGCTAGACGCTGGCCAGCGCTCACGCGCTCATGGGCGAGCTGGATGAGCAGGCAGCCATAGCCGAGCTGCGCTGATGTATGCTGGATGGGGCGCATGGTGGTCCTTGGGTGCACGTGGCATCTGTGAGTGGGGGATCGAGGTTGTGAGTCATACGAGAGGCATACCTGGTGCTTGAGGCGAACGGCATTGGCCGAGATCTGCTCGTGCTTCGGGGAGCTGTTGACGTCACCAGCGGCATTGTAGATAGGCTAGATAGGATCTGCCATTTGTAGTCTGGGCGCAGAGCGCCAGATAGGATATCGACATTGGTTCTTTGTTGATGATGATGAGACTATTCCAACATTGTCAGTTACGAGCTTTTGCTGTGCTCTTATTTGGTGGAACTCATGTTGCAAGTCTGCTTTTGGTTCGAGGTCATGACTATCTGGTCACATGTGTATGATGCTGCTTGGTTTCTGAAGTTCGCTATCGCTCATTGTCCTTGCAAATGGGTCATCCAGGGGGGGTGGGGGGGTAAACACTGAACAGTGACTGAAGGGATTCAAAAGGGCACAGTTGGACTCATGTTTTCTGAACTTTTCTCATTTATTTTTATCATAAATTAAAAAGTGACAAGGAATTTCGAGGTGTCCCTCAACCAAAAGTTGTTTGTATCGCAATTTTTCACAGCATTTTGTTTTTCGGGTTTTATCTAGGCTACCAGCCAGGCCGCCCGGTGACTTTGTACCACAAAACCTGCTCACAAACGCATCAGAGGGAAGGAGAATACACAGGTGAACAGCCGTGAAGAGCGTACCAACAAAGCGCCTGCTTCGCTTCCCGAAGTTATAACCAATTGGTCACTGCGGCAGATCCAACACATAACAAGCAACATTTCTTTAGACTCGCTTTTGAAGAACAAGAGTACACATGATGTACATCATCAAACTTCCAGGGTGACAATTGTTATTACAGTCAAAGTTTTACCAAAGAGTTCTAGTGTTAATATGCTTTTACCAAAAAGTTCTAGTGTTAATATGCTTTCTTCTCTCAGACCTACCTGAATGCATCTGACCACGTTCGGGAGGTGTTCGGCCGAAATACAAGACACGCATGCGCGGTGGATATAGAAACGAAAAGCAAAAGATTATAATATATGAATTTACTAAATCTCTCTTAAACCACCACTAACTTTCTCATATGTGGGGCCGTGGGCCTCAGATTCAAATTCGGCCACCACGCGCCGTCGATGAAATATATCGATGGCGGCGTGGCAGCTATTTTTCAGGAGTAGGCTACTAGATGCCCACGGCCGACATATGGGAAAGGTAGCGGTGGTTAAAAAAAAAAAAAAAAAAAAAGGTAAGAATTACTAAGAAAGAAATTAGAAGATCACTCCAAGCACTTGCATGGATGGCATACACTTGGTTATTGTTGAACATAGCTAGGCTGTTTTCCCGGGCGCACGGGCACCCAACTTCTGCCCAGGTACACGACCCGGTGCCCAGCCGGGCATGACCCCCGGGCAGGGTTCCAGGCAGCCCCAGCGCCAAAAAAAAAAAAAAAAAAAACCTCAAAAAATTCCGGAAAAAAATATGTTGTGTAGGATTGAAATACAAACGACTTTTGGCTGAGGGTCACATTATAATTCCTCAAAGAATCGGAGATAAAAAAGAAAATAACAGAATCACACAAAGGCACCCCCCTTTAGAGAAGTTTAGACCCCTTTAGCCCCTTTAAAACCAATTTATACCCCTCTCCCCCCCCCCCTGACAGCCAACTCGCAAAAAACGAAATGAGCCCGGATTTGAAGTCCTCTGGTAGAGCGCAGAAAACCGGAAAAAATCGTATAACTTCGTATAATGTATGCTATACGAAGTATTACGAGAAGATCAGCATGATAGCATTCAGATAGATTACGACACACTGCGGAGCCGCAAAAGAGCACAAGACAAAGCTGTAGAAAACTTTGAGAAAAACATATGATAGTATCATAATTTATGATTCAATCGCGCGCAACTCCGAAGAGTACGCAACAGTCATACATGAAGCCCGCTCTTCGGCACACTCTACCACCATCGCTCACCCCTCATCCCATCATCATCATCCACAAACCAGGGTGGTAAACTATGTCGTGCGAAAGGGCGTCTAACTGGCGTCCGCCACTTCTTTTATCGCATCGACCGCCATTCCAAGTCAAAACCAGGACAGCTGTGGCGCTTCGACAGGTACTCAACCAGCAGCGGACCCGCGATCTCGAAGGAAATTAGCACCCACGCAGCTGGTCCCACTGGTTGTCCCGGTACCTTACCCAGGAGGGTTCCAATCCTCGAAACTACTGTCCTAATATTCACACAACACGAGTTTGAAACTAGGTCACCCATCGGCCCGACCTTTTCCAAGATATCACCGTCACCGGTACTAGCATGTGTGTGGACAGGGGTGGAAAAGGGGGGGCCAGGGACAAACAAACCAATGTTTGAGCCCTGGTCCCCCAACTGACCGGTCCCTACAAAAACATGCATTCTACAACAAACCAGATGCCCGGGATTGGTCGCTAGTCCCTACAATCATTCGTTCTAACTCCAGCACGGCCCCTGCACAGGGATGACAAACACAAATCGAGCAATGACCCAATGACTCCAAATACTTTTTAAGACAAAGAAAAATGAAAACATAAACTGTATAAAAAATATATTAAAAAAAAAACAAAAAAACAAACATAAACTGTATATAAGCCACAGACAGACACATGGTCTTGGACTCTTGGTAACCCTTCAGTATTTAATATTTATTGTTTACGTGACCCTGAGGCAAAAGTTGTTCAGTTTTATAACTTTTATTTAACTTTATTTTCGTAACGAATTTTGAGGTGACCACAGACGACTTCAAATTAAAAGGGCCTTAACGAATCAGATCCCAAATGGATGCCCCAACAGCAAGGGGCCCTGTCGGCCAGAACTTAAATTCACGAGCAGCAACTCAAAAGACAAAGTTCCTGTGGTAAATGTCGCATCCATAATGAAGTGAAAAGTCATTTTGAAAGGCCACAAACAGGTCCTGAACGAACAGGTATTGGACACAATTTTCAAGACAGAGTTAGGGTCATGTCTCCTCGATGAAAAGACATGTCTGTTAGGTAACGAGTCAAAGGCTACAGTCCCAGCCCAGTCATAATCCCACGAGTCAGTCCTGATTCAGACCAGGAGCCCAAAAGACAGGCCCGATGGCCCAAAGTAGCAGCAGACCATGGGAAAAAAGATACTGGGACACACACTTTGCAACAATCGGTACTGGGCAGGAGTCCCAGGGACACTTCAGGCTGAATGCAGGCCACGCCAGACCTTTTTTTTTTTTTTTTTTTACCAGTCCGGCACTATAAAGGACTGGCCAGCCTCCCATTTGGACGGATGGTCACTTCGCATGAGAGTGTGGAAGTGCCGTGGCACTTGTGTGCTAGATGTGTGTGAGCTGCGCTAGGCTGAAGAGCAGCGCTATGTGGGAAGAAAGGAAGTGCTGGCTAGAGGGAAGGCAGCCATAGCTGCGCCAGCACTAGTTAGTATGTTAGTAGGGATAGTCAGTAGGAGATACCAGTGAGAAGTATTCAGAGTAGATTCTCGTGTGATAGGGAGTGTGCATGCATGATGAGTGAGGGTAGACCAGGACTATAGACATAGAGGGAGAGAGCGAAGAAGGCAGACGAGAGAGGGGGAAGTGTGAGCTATGGTGACACTTACCTGTTGAGCGCTGTTGTTGACATTTGACAGCTGGCGCTGATGAGCGCCAGGCTTGGAACTCGTGTTGGTCGAAGAAGACTTGTAATCTCTGTTCAGCGCTATCCACTTTGAACTCACGATGTTCTCTCTCTAATTCTGGGCTTGATAATTGAGTTGATTTTCCTGGTTCTCATTCATTTTCTATTGGGTTTGTGCGAGACTTCGCAAACTGTGAAATCAGTGTATATGCATGTGATCTGATGCACTCCAGCAAGCGATGAACAGTCGGGTTCCTTGCAAAATTTCCCAGAGTGGAAAAATTTGGTAACGAATTTTGATGTGACCCTGAGGCAAAAGTTGTTCAGTTTATTTTTGTGCATCACATAGTTTTTCTACAGATTTTTGGAATTTTTATTATTTTTTGGATTTTTTTTATTTTTTTTTTCCCGGGGGCAGCCGAGCCCTTCCCTGGTCCTTGCACGGCCGGGCCGCCCCGTCAAAGAAAATGACCCTGGCGGCCCGCCTGGCAGCACAGTTGTTTATTAAATAGACTAGGTTCTCGCCGCACATAGGCAAGGTGTCATCAAGTCAAAAACTACTGACTGACCTGCTGATGTCCCCGTCAAAGGTGAGGTGATGGATGACAGGGAATTCCAGAACATTGGCGGCCAAGTACTCGAAAAACCTGCCACCAAAACCACACGGAAAAAAGACGGTCACTTAGCTCCTGGCAAAAAATTGAACACCCAAAAGGACTAAAAAAAACAAAAAAGAAAAAGAAAACAAAGTTTAACAAACTCACTTCCAAAGGTTGACCAAAAAAAAAAAAAAAGGTTCAGACTCCACAGCATCCCTTTCTTAAAGATTGATCTCTTTGGGGGAAAAAAAAAAAAAAGAGGACTATTCCAGCACAGCCGCACAACGAAGATTAGGCAGTACATTAGGGAGAAAAACACATTTGAATTTCTGAAAGCCTTCAACTACTTATATCATAAGACTACCTCAACAGTTGGGGCTCTGTTCCACCACCAAAGTAAATACCCCTACACCCTAGATTAACACTGGTGGGGGAGTTAAAAAAAAAAAAAAGGGGGGGGGGTAAACTGAGTTAAACTCCTGTCTTTTATACACATCTAGATGTGTATAAGAGACAGTTTTATCTGCTGCGCTAGGCCTCCTAAATTTTTGGAGAGGCTAAAAAAAAAAAAAAAAAAATTGGTTCTCCAGTTGCCTGGGGCCATGTACTGGTNACATCACATGATTTGTTAAGCACAGTGTCCATTCTCACGACGGACCTACTTATGATTCTTCAAGTAATGAAGAAGTTATCCCCGTCAACAGTCTGAAAACTCTGAAGATTTTGAATTTTGACATCTAAAATTTGAAATTTGAAAAGTGAAGTTCAAAGTTTGACGTCTGTGAAGTTTGAAGCTTGAAGTTTGGACGTGAAAAAAACTGGCCCTTGGGAAGCAAATGCGGAAGCCCAGCTGAAATTCGATGTTTGAGGTTCACAGTGGGGGGGAGTTTGAAGTTTGATTTTTGAAGCTTGAAGTTCGAAGTTCGAAGTTCGAAGTTCGAAGTTTAAAGTTTAAAGTTTGAAGATTGAACGTGAAAACTGACCCTTTGGAAGCAAATGCGAAATTCCAGCTGAAGTTTGATGTGTGATGTTTGAAATTTGAAATTTGAAGTTCGGAGTTTGAAGTCATCAATGTTGGGATGTGAGAACCGACCATTCCGAAGCAAATGCAAAACTCCAGCTGAAGTTGGATGTGTGATTTGAAGTTTGAAGTTTGTGAAGTTTGAAGCTTGTGAAGTTTGTGCAGGCTGAAGTTTGAAAGTCTGAAAGTTCGAAGTTTGAAAGTTTCAAGTTTGAAAGTTTGAAAGTTTGAAAGTTTGAAAGTTGAAAGTTTGAAAGTGTGAAAGTTTAAAAGTTTGAAAGTTTGAAGTTTGGAGTTTGGAGTTTGAAGATTGAAAATTGAACATGAAAACTGACCCTTTGGAAGCGAATGTGCGAGTCCAGCTTCAAGTTCATCAATCTTGAGCAGTGCCATTGCATTCGGCATAGGCTTTGCGATAAGCTCCTTTGCTGGTACAAGCACTCCAACGCCGATATCTTGAAGCCTCTTTAAAGCGAGCCGCTGCACCAGTACCGAGTTGCACGAAAACATCATGAACATTGGCTGTGGACTTGGAACAAGAGTTTCATAACAGACTTCAATTAGCAGTGCACCCAATCAGCAAAGGAGCTTAAAAAAATCTGCTTAAGACTTCAGAACAGACTTCAACAGACTCGAGATCAGTACAGATTCACCATAGAATCAGGGAACGGGTAAACCACTTCAAAAAAAAAAAAAAAAAAAAAAAAAAAAAAAAAAAAAAAAAAAAAAACCCGGGGGGGGGGGGGGGGGGGGGGGGGGGGGGGGGGGGGGGGGGGAAGGCCCTACCCCCTAAATTAATCCGTCTGCCTAGGGAAAACAAAGATGAATCCGTCCACTGTTTTTTTTTGGCAGAAAGGGAGGGGGAAGGGGGGGAGGGGGGGGGGGAGGGGGAGGAAGAAAAATCCGACTGCCAAGATGAAAGCCGGTCAATTATTGGTCTAATTGTGTCAGAAGGTCTCAGTAAGTGTCAGAGAATAAGAACCAAATAGTTTATCAGACATGTATGTGGACTGTTTTATGGTCGATGTGCATTGGGAATGTTTGAACATTTTGAATGTATCAGGAGCTGACCTGGCCTTCAATTGGTTCTGATTCGCTGACACTTTCTGAGACCTTGTTGGCCTGTGGAACCGACCTGCCCGGCCAATGAGGCCCGGTACCGTACAAATTTCTGGCCGTTCAAAAGGGGATAAAAGATCAGCAAACCCAAGCCTGTGCAATCACCAGTTTTGGGAAAAGGAGGCCTTCACAGGTAGAGGTGATGTCACTCAATTGAAGATGAATAGGGGTTCCTAGATGCTACTTAAATGACCCCATGTAAGGAAAACCGATGACAGGTTGGGTGTGTCCCCCTTTATGCCACGGGTCGAGACCAGGAGGGACATAAAAGAGGCCTATAAGCGGACACTTGTAGCAACTCATCCCTTTTGCAAACACAGGGGGGAGGCAAGAGGGGGCCAGAGGGACCGGCGAGGGTGGGAGGGGGAGCTGGAGGGGGTTGAGGTGGAATGGAATTTGGGAGAAGCTTTTATTGAACATAATTTGCATTCTTGAACGGTTTTGTCACCGTCCAGCTTTACAACAAAAAGCAAAAACAAAAAAAAACAAAAAAAAACAGAAAATATTACTCGTGCAGCACCATGCAAGGAACCCAACTGATTTCAACACCGGATTGCACTTAACGCACACAGAAGACTAAGAGAACATTCACCCCAAGATGACAAGTCAGCGCAAATGAGGATGAAAACCGCTCCAAACACTTTATATTATACAAGGAATGAGTTTGAATACACAAGCAGTTAATGGCCGCTATCGCCAGCATCAACAAACGGGTAATCTTTGCTCTCAACCCCCTCTGCTCTCTCTCTCTCTCTCTCTCTCTCTCTCTCTCTCTCTCTCTCTCTCTCTCTCTCTCTCTCTCTC